TTCAAAAAAATGGAAAATTAACTTTTTTGAACTCGCATTTTTCTATGAAAAAAGTTATTTTTTCCATAGGTTCAAAAAAATGGAAAATTAACTTTTTTCAACTCGCATTTTTCTATGAAAAAAGTTATTTTTTCCATAGGTTCAAAAAAATGGAAAATTAACTTTTTTGAACTCACATTTTTCTATGAAAAAAGTTATTTTTTCCATAGGTTCAAAAAAATGGAAAATTAACTTTTTTGAACTCGCATTTTTTCTATGAAAAAAGTTATTTTTTCCATAGGTTCAGAAAAATGGAAAATTAACTTTTTTGAACTCACTCCAAAAAAAAATTTTTTTTCTTCTTGCACAAAAAAGTTTTTTTCAAGACTTTTTTTCCCCCGGACTTTTTCCCGCGAACTTTTTCCCCCGGACTTTTTTCAAAGACTTTTTTTCCAAAACTTTTTTTCAAGACTTTTTTAAGACTTTTTTTCCTGCGGACTTTTTTTCAAGACTTTTTTCCTGCAAACTTTTTTCTTGAGGACTTTTTTTTCCTGAGGATTTTTTTTCCTGAGGATTTTTTTTCCCGAGGACTTTTTTCTTGAGGACTTTTTAAAAAAAAAAAATTGAATTCTTTTTTAAAGTCTTTTTTTTTCTTTTGCGCTATAAGGAAGAAATATACCCTACTCACTGGGTTGCAAATTTTCTGGTAACTATGAATCCATCAAAAGCTCTTTTAAGAATCCAACAACCAAAGAAGATGTCTTTGTGATACTCCATCCCTGTCACATGCTCAAACTGGCTAGGAATGCACTAGCAGATATGGGATCCTTTATTGATGGAGATGGCAACGTCATAAGATGGAAACATATCGAAGAGCTTCAGAATATTCAAGAACAAGAAGGGTTGAACCGGGCAAACAAACTGTCCTCAAATCACATACAATTTCAAAGTCATAAAATGAAAGTGAGTCTTGCGGCACAAACTTTAAGTTGCTCTGTTGCAGATGCGATTGAGTTTTTGGACTTGACACATAATTTGTCTAGCAACAGCAAAGGAACAACAACATTTATTCGAACAATCGATCAACTGTTTGACATGTTGAATTCCCGTAATCCAATAGGAAAAGGGTTCAAAAAGCCACTTAGACCATGTGACAAAGAAAAATGGCAGGCAACCTTTTCATCCATAGCAGAGTACCTCCTGAAATTGAAAACAAATGCACCACAGCCTCAACTGCTTTCTCAGACAAGACGAAAAACATTTATAATTGGATTCATTGCTTGCATAAAATCAACTATTTCAATGGCTAACCAAATGTTTGAATTGACCACCAAACCTAAACCTTTCAATTATTTATTAACTTATAAATACTCTCAGGATCATCTTGAACTTCTATTTTCATGTATACGTTCCAGAGGAGGC